GTACAGTGAGTAGTGACTTTCACAGTAGTCGTCCTTGGACAAGTCATTGTCGTCTTGAACGATATCTTCGCTTTCCCAGTACTTGGATATTTCGTTGAGATCGATAAGAGACACGTGACAGTTCAAAGTTTTTAATTTTCCGTACAGTATCCATCCCAGTTGTGTTTGATGCGCAATCGGGGATTGTTGGCTTCCTTTGAATACTCCATCTAGTAAAATGTCTGAGTACACGTCGGCTTCTAGCAGTAGATGAATAGGGCGCGACATGTGGAAGTCTAGATCTGCAAGCTTCAAGTTTTCCAAGTGTGGCCAGTTAGGTGGTTCAAACTACGAGTAAGTTTACATGATGAGGGCTTGAGTTTCAAAGGTATAGTTAGAGTAAACTGATTTGCAAGACAAATTGGGGCGTCCTTTGCAGTCCCCAGATACAGATCCTACTCCAGTAACAGCTGCGTTCATTCTTTTTCTAGGCAGTCGTAAGAGCTATGCCACTCTTTCAGTGATTAATCTTACTTGTGAGCCTTGGTCTAGTAAAGCCCGTAATTTGATTTGAGTTTCATTCAGTCACTACAGGGGCACACCCGCCACTACAGGGGGCATTTCAAAATTTATGTCAGTTCATTTACTATGATCGCAAAATATTATCTTTTATTCCCTATTTGTTGAATAATGTATAAATTCTAATAATGTCCAATATCATATAATTGCTAACAATGGCATCTCAAGTTATTTTGCATTTATCCAAACCAAAGCATCAGCAGCATTTTATCGCCATTATATGCATTAAAGCTATGAAGAAATACAATCATAAAGAATACCATCATCATGCTGCTGATTAATATAGTGAGGTTAGAAACCAAAGACCCTCTTTAATGGTAACCAGACATTCCCATCTAAGTCTTCTAGTGTGAATCCTTGATCAACGTAAATTAAGGTGTAGCGATAGGCCATATCATCTACTGACCTCTAGTGTATGTATTTTATTACATTGTAATTGTCACCCTTATATGTATAAAAATATGTCTGTTTGATGTGTTTTTGTTTAGATCTGTACTTTATAGCAAATCTTTATATATAATTCTTCTGTCCGTGTGTATGTGACTGAACTCGTCCTAAACGGCTGGAGCGATGAAATTTTGTGTGTGTGTGATTAAGTTGATTCGAGAATGGTTTAGATTCACAATTGCACCCGGTACGTGGCGCTGTGGTCTAGATTCAGAAATCACCCGTGCGAAGCCGGGGCTGATACCTAGTTTAATTATAAGTGATGCAACTATCAAAATATCTTTCAGAGTACTTACCTTGAGCAAAAGCCCATCCACAATAACTGCATAAGTATTGCTTTTGCCCGTCATGAACCTTCATGTGGCACTTTAACACACTCTTTAATTTGAATCTGTAAAAAATCAAAATGATTACATTTAACATGATATAAGCGACAGTAGCCTAATGGCTGGAGGGTGTGGATCACAAACTCATAATATGGTTGTGGGTTCGAATTTGCTATTCAACTACTATCGTTAACTCCTCCTTACATAAGTGTTTTAAGCTTACTAGGACTGGTTAAAGGAAATATTAGTAACGTTAGTGTACACGCCCTTAGTTGCCCCAACAAAGGTCGACTGGAGCAGGGCCCATGAGTGGTCCCCTCGACGAGCAACCAAGGCCCAATGGCCTATGGATAACGGTTCCAATAACGGCTGACAAATAAGCAAGCGCAACTAACCGATTTCCGGAGGTAGGGTTGACCACGGGGTACCTGTCAGGAGATAAGTGATGTGCATGTAAGTAGTGTGTAGTGTACAATGTGTAACCTGACATCCCCGCTGAAGTCGGACTGCAGATCCACAGGCGCTGCTTCTCTCCAAATGTGAGATCCATCCAGGGGGGAGTTCACCAATTGAAAACTTCTGCTTTTATTCCCACTATATCAGTTTATCAACTTTATTGTACACTTAATTAACTTCAAAGTCAACCAAATCAAAGTTCATCCAAATTAAACCAAGTGACACACGACACAAGTAAAGAACAGTCGTTCGAGGTTCAATATTCAATGTTCCGGGTTCACTTAGCACAAAATTACAAAGTCGGGAACGAACGCGGTCTCCTCTCGAGTCACAAAGTTCAGCGTTCCCCCGACAAAGCCATATTCTTTCGAACGATATTAACATGCCACACAAGCAAAATAAATATTGCCAATGGCACTTCAACAGGCCATCACTATACAAATTGGCCTAAATTTAATGGCAAACGAAGTTAAGTTAACCACTCAAACTCAATAAACGCCTCGTCGTTACGTAAACGTACTAACAAAACGACACAAATTAGAGGCTTTTTTGCACGCGACCTCGCAACGGTCGCAAACAATACTCAAAACGGTTACAACAGTAATTATATGAGATCAGCCTCGTTGCCACGCAAAACGCCCTAGATTCGACAACTTCAAATTTAACTATTCAAAAGAGGCTCCGCGCGCAACTCTTAACCGTATCGTCGACACCGAGGTCGCTAGCAACTAACTTTTCTAGACTCGTCCCGAAAGCCGCGCCCTCGAATGGAATGCGAGCGGGAGAGGGGACTGGCCGTGACCTTGGTAACATCGGTGGCACGCGCCGAGTCGAGTGTGTTGAATGCAAATTTCAAGTGCCCATATTTGGCCTAAACAATTAGTATTCGTTATTCTCTAATGTCTCCCTATATGGAATAAACCTGCATATATTTTAAGTCAAGAAAATTTGTTGAAAATTGATAAAAAATAAAATTCTGTGCTGTTATAACCCTTCAAACTTTTTCTATAATTTATTACATATATGATATAATATGTAATAGATTATAAAACAAGTTTCATCGCTCATTCTTGGCCTTAAACAGTCAACTTCCACCATAATGAGGGCATCCACGACTTTTTCTGCCACCTGGGTGGCGCCACTTAAAAGTGAGGTATATTTGACAGATTTCGTACCGGGGAAGTTAATTTGTTCGGAAAATGTAAAAGTCACTTAATTTAATTTGTTCGGAAAATGTAAAAGACTTAGTTCTGCAGCATATGCCGTAAAAAAGATTAGAAGTCTAACTAGTGTTGAAACAGCTAGACTAGTTTACTTTAGCTATTTCCATAGCATAATGTCGTATGGTATTTTGCTATGGGGACACGCAGCTGACACTGAAATTATATTTGTTTTACAGAAGAGGGCCATAAGAGCAATTTATGATTTAAAGCCTAAAGAGTCGCTGCGACAAAAATTTAAGGAAATTAATATATTAACTTTGGCCTCTCAATACATTTATGAAAATGTAATGTACGTACACAAAAATAAAAGTAATTTTACAAAAATAAGTGATATTCATTCTGTAAATACTAGGAACAGACACAAGCTAGTAGTACCAGTTACTCGACTCCATCGAGTCAGTAATTCATTCTTGGGGCGATGTATACGCTTTTACAACAAAATTCCAGGAAATATACAAAATTTGACCTGCTCAAAGTTCAAAAACTTTATTAAACTAAGTTTGTATAAAAAGGGTTATTATAATATTAATGAATTTATAGATGATAATAACCCCTGGGAATGAGGTGATCGCTACCAAGCTATTTCTAATTTGTTGTGTTGTTGATTTGTGTAACATACATGATTGTAACCTGTTATTTAAAAAAAAGTCCCGCTGGGTTTCTTGCTGGTTCTTCCCAGGACAGAGGTTAGTTTTTTCGAACCAGTGGTAATCATACAAAAGAGTGACTTTCAATAAGTATTATTTATAATCTATATTGAATAAAAAAGTTTCTGTTTCTGTTCCTGTCAATGTTTCTTTCTGTACTATAAGCTATATTTTATATTAATAAAATTAAAAATAAGTCAACCGAACCACAGATATTCATGTTTTATGTATTAATATAATACTTTTTAGAGTGATAAACTTTTATTAAAAACTTATTTCTCAATCAAATGACATTGTGTAACAAAAAAACTTTACCTCAGTGTCAACTAACGACATCTGGTGAGCAGAAAATTATTAGGCCTCATTGCTTGATAACAAATCACATTGACAAACACTGTACCACATATCTCACAGTGAGCTTTCCGCATGAATTCAACTGAGTATGTAAAAATATAGAACTGATTAATCTAGTACCTACAGTGAAAACATTATGTCGATCTGACTAAAACTGACGAAGTTCACTGCGATTTTAGTGGAGGGGTTTCTACATGCTCATTTAAAATAGCGCACCATTCGCGTGACGTCATTATTCACATCGTTCCTATTCGCGGCCAACCGCAGCCTGCCTGTTCGGTATCTTAATATTTTAATAATCGAAACATTTCATACAAAATTCATTTAGTAAGTACATGTTTACTACCTATAAGATGAAATAAGTATCATACTGATAATGATGTAAAATGATAGCTACACTTAAGTACCTATTTAATATATATTCTTACCTGTTTATTTTGTCTGCACGTATTTCTGCACTGGAATAATTAGCATTATTTCTGTAATATTTGTCCACCATAAAAGCATCAACCTTCGGAGGATTGTCAGATTGAGCTTTAACAAATCCGAATTCCATGTTAATTAAAATTACCTTATTAATATAAATAACCTCACAAAATACATTTCATTTCAAAACAGGTAGGTAGATTACAACCGTAAACAGTGAATTTTATTACGATTGAATGCAGTAAGAATGAGTGTTCAATTCACCGCGATAATGAATGATGACGTCATCGCTCGTGGCGCCGAGTTTTAAATTAAGCGTTTAGAAAACTTGTAATAATTTCATAATTTCTGGACTGATTTGTGTCATTTAAAAACTATGATCATCTACAAAGCATAATACACATAACTAAATAAGTTAAAGTCTAGAGTTCTGTTATGTGTGGAAAGCTCATTACAGTGTTGCTTTCTATTGCTGAACTGGGTATTTTATATGTGGTAAAGGTATGAGATTATAGTGTAGGCTATACAATAAAAATGATTAATTATATATTATTGTATTTATATTACTTTAAATATAAATTATCAAACCTCATTTGACATTTATCACATGCAAAGGGGCGTTCATCAGAGTGTGTGTGTGTGTGCACTGTTAGCTGCTTTCGTCGCTTGAAGCGTTTACCGCAGATACTGCAGCCAAACTTGCGCTCCTCAGAGTGGGTCGTTGCATGATATGTTAGTTGGGATTGTTTGCTAAATGCTGTAAAATCGTAAAATTATACCTCAATGGAGTAAGAACAATTTCTACCACTGCACCTTATATCATTATCACTTGAAAGACCGTAATTTTTTTATAAGCTATCTCATGTTCTGTGTTTTACAAGTTCATTAGGGAAATTAGTGGAAATTCGACAGTTGGCATATACATATTACATACAACATTCCCATTATTAATTTACATAACCTAACAGATCAGTAAATTAAATTGGCAATGGGCCGGGCATATAACTTGAAGAACCTACAACCGATGGAAAAAAAGGTTCTCAAGTAGCAGCCTTGTACAAGTAAGCAAAGTGTAGGACAGCCCACCAACAGATAGGTTGATGACCTGGTAACATACAGGAAGTCAGTGGATGCCTGAAGCTCGAGATCATGTTTTACGTGGTAGACCCACTCTGCAGCTATGTAAAGCTGCAGCAGGCCTAGTTGGCTCAACGAAAGTAGGACCACACACTCAATGAATAAATACAGAGTCAAATAGCAGAATAATGCTGCAGTATTTTGTATAGCAAGTGTAGAGAGATGAAGACCCTCTTAACTGGTAACAAGATATTCCATCTTAGTGCTCAGGGGTAATAATGCATCTGCATTTTGATTTTTAATTGATGATAAATGTCTATGGGCCACAGCTTCCACTTACCATCCGATAGACGGTGTGTGTTTGTCACCCCTAGATTTAGTTAAAGTCACACCCTATATATGTCCTACTGCTAGGCACAGGCCTCTTCTCATTTCTGAGAGGGTTTTTAGGGCAAGGAAGTGTCCGCTGTGCTGCCCCAATGCGTGTTGGCAAACTTAACATGTCTTTGGAATGTGTTTTTATGACATGCAGATTTCCTTGCCATATTTTCCGTCACCGCCTAGCATGTGGTAAAACCTTCATGGTCACCCTTATTAAAAAAAATTGTGGCATTCCTTGGAGAATACCAATGTTCAGCAATGAACTTGTCAAGGGCTGTAATGATGACAAGGATAGTTATTAATAATATACAGTATTTATATTTTAATAAATCTACAAAGAATTACTTTTAATTAGCAAATTAAATATTTTTATAACTGATTTCAAAAAAAGAAGGTTCTTAATTAGACTGTATGTCCTTTTTTGTATTTATGTCATGCAATATCTTAATCAATTGTAAATTGTCAAAATCAAAAGCAAATCGCTTTTTATTAAGTCTAATTTTTAAGAATTTGTTAGCCTAATTATATAATATGGTACAGAAAGTAATTTAATAAATTGCAAGTCAAAAGTAGATATTAAAATTGCCATAATTCAACTTAAATAGCAAAACATTTTACATACTTTTAGCACAGTGTTCACATCTGTACTTTTGACCTGAGTGCTCTTTTGCCATGTGTTTAGCAAACCACACCTTTGACATAAAACCCTTCCTGCAAATCGGGCAGATATTTTTCTTAACACCATCACAATTTTTAACTTTTTCTTTAGCATCATCATTCTTTCCCATATCTTCATTATTGTTACATGGCAATTCTTTTAAGGAAACATTGGTTACTGCATCATCATATTGGTCATTATCACTGTGTATATTAAAGTTCTCCTTAACATTTTCAACTAAAGATAGTTCTTTGGTATTTTGAACAGAACTACACAGTTTATAATCTGGAAGTGTAAGTTTTAGATGACTTTTTGGTTCAGATTGTGTATGTATTAGTCTTGCACAATTTTCCAATTCAACAATTATACTAGTTTCCGTTCTAGAGACAATGTTCTTAAGAGTCACATTAACATTTTGTGCTTCTTTTATAAACATGTATGATGATTCTATTTTAATTATGCAATCATAACAGAACTGTTTTGGTAGCCTGTCTCCTTCGTTTAGCTGTTTAAAGTTAAAACCATAATTTATTTACCTTACTCTTTTAATTGTATATGAAATTATATGCTACTTTACTAATAACTAATTTACCTCAATATTTGTACAAAACCGAAACATTTCAACAGCTCGCGCATCAAAATTTTCTTTTTCCCAAGATGCGACTACTTTCATGCAGCTACGGCATAATTTTGTTATATCCATAGTCGTCTTTGAATGCCACTTTACAAAATTATGATCTAAAATACTCGTGTCATACGTATTATGATATTTTTAAAGCGATTTTTCAGGTTTACATTATTTTATTCATAGATATATGTAGTAGTATAATTTTATTTATTTACATAAGTTTTTCTTCCACTTCCATCGCTTCCATCCATATTCCATAATATTGTACTTAAGGAAAAGGGTTCTATGACCATACAGCCTAGTTTGACGTTTATTTTGTTCTAGCATATTTTTCGTGTTGGTGTGAATTTTTGAGAGATTTAGATGATAGTTTTTGAGGTTTGTACTGTTATCCAGATGGGAACTTTTATACTTTTATCAAATTCAGAGTTAGCTATCGAAAGAAAATATTACTTGATGTATACACCATTGAATCACTTGTTTCACCGTATTTAATAAATAATGATAGTTAACTTAGCTAAGACATTTTAAACTCTAAGATGAACGATTAAAGGGAGGATAAGTAACGGTGAAATTAAAATGAAAAAAATATTGCTGTAGCACGAGTGTGTCAGATTGACTGAACAAAAACCACGCTCTGACACATTAACAACCTAATGCTGCTGCGTTTCGTTTGCCAAGTGAGGTCAACTGGACATACTTTTACTACTAACGAGGTATTCCATCTTAGTCCTCAGGGGTAACATCAGATCAACATATCTGTTTTTAGCTGCAACAACATCCACTTACCATCGGATTAACTGAGTGTGCTAATATTTAGGAGGCATTACTGTTACTGTTGCTACTAATAATAATAAGTACTAACACAGAATTATACAAATAGTTTTAGTTTAATTTAAAATCCGTCAAAATATTTTTATAGGGTAAATTTTTGTACGGGAGATGTCATTAGGGAGAAATCATAAAAAGAAAAGGATGGTTTGGGACAGCAAAAGAATAAGTGTTCCAGAGTTCTTTATCTAGACCGGACTCCCATAAAGAGCTATCCTACTACCCTGTTTGACCTACTACATAATTTTTGACATTGTGAAGTTTGAGTTTATATATTGTCGAGATTGTCTTTGAATACCGGCCGTCAAAACCGTGTAGTGGCGGTGTAAGAATATCGATTACCCCATATCGTCCCGAGGATGTTGTGATAGGCGACAGAAGGAAAATGAAATAGAAGATGGGTAGCAGCATCTTCCTGATAACAACTCAAAATAAATAAAATGTGTGGTTACCAACCCGCTTCCCAAGCGTAGTAACTATGGCGAAATCCCCCTATGAGGCATTATTAAGGGAGGCCTATGTTCAGTAGTGGACCTTTATAGGCTGTAATAAATGGATGGATGGACCGTTAGTAGTGTAGACTTAACCAGAGAGTTATATTAAGGGGTTTAAAATTACCACGTTTTAAATGTAGTTTTATGTTTGACATTACAACATCTCCGAACTGTACAAGCATATATTATTACTCGCAAAAGCATATGTTATTACTCCTAGAGCAACTTATTGTTCATTTTTCATTAGCATCAAAACACATAGATTAATAATATACTTGAATTTACACATACGTCTGGCGAAACCGTTACTATATTATGTAGGTAGCATACGTGTCACTTGAAATAAATTAATATCAAACAAGAAAAAATAACGTCTGCCTTCAGAAAAGTCCTAATTTCAAAATAATTAATTTTGTAAATACTATTTTAAATGTTAAATAAATAAATACCTATAATGCTTCAAATGTTAACGATCTTTTATCAACTGCTCTTGTTACACCAGTTTAAAGAAAACTACGAGTAATGCAAAAACTAATGGGTTGGCTATCACGTCTATGCGTCCATTACTTGATTTTAACTATGTTTTCAGTTTAGGAGGCTTTTGATCTTTACTCTGACGGTTAGTATCGAACCTTTTACACTGTTTTTGGATGTCGGAAATGCCATCATCATCATCATCATTACAGCCCTTCACAAGTCCACTGCTGAACATAGGCCTCCCCCAAAGAATGCCACAAAGCACGGTCCTGAGCCACCTGCATCCATCGACTTCCTGCATGTCTTACCAGGTCGTCACTCCATCTCTTGGGGGGACGCCTTACACTTCGCCTACCGGTACGAGGCCGCCACTCGAGAACCTTTCTTCCCCATCGGTCGTCGGTTCTTCGAGCTATATGGCCGGCCCACTGCCACTTCAGCTTACTAATCCGTTGGGCTATGTCGGTTACTCTGGTTCTACTGCGGATATCCTCATTCCTAAGTTTATCACGCAGAGAAACTCCGAGCATAGCCCTCTCCATAGCTCGCTGAGCGACCTTGAGCTTTCTCATACGGCCAACAGTGAAGGACCACGTCTCAGTTCCGTAAGTCATCACTGGCAACACACACTGGTTGTACAATTTCGTTTTAAGGTTTTGAGGTATGTCTGACGAGAGGATGTGTCGTAGCTTCCCGAACGCTGCCCAGCCGAGTTGAATTACGACGGATTTAACTCAGTCGGTCGGAAATGCGTTTTGAATTAATTACGATAAAAATAAATATCACTAAAAATTGCGTATAACGAACCGCAAATATGTTAATTGGTCAAGTAAGTATTGCATCATGAAAAATTATTTAATGCCTCCTCTACACTACTCGCGAAGTAGACCGAAGTTGGACGAGGCGAATAGTGTAGAGAGGTACTTCGATTCACTTCGTCCAACCTCGCTTCGCCTCGGGCGACTTCCGGTCGCTGTCGGTTTTTTGCGCCAAAGTCAAAGGACTTCGCGAAGTACTTCGAAGTTATACGAAGCGTCTCACTACACTACTCGGCGTACGCCAGTTATGAATATATTTTTTATATATAAATCTTAAATATGTAACTTTCTATATAATTATTTATTTAGTTAACGCATTGACGTCGTACTGTTCACACAATTAGGTACATATAGCAGCTGCCTCTTGAACGTCATTCATGTTAATGGTGCGGGAGACTCAAGACGACTGAGCTCTTCGCGAAATAGCACGAGTGTGTGGTCACGTTCTTCGGACTGCGATCGACTTCGACGAGCACTTCGTCGAAGTTACTTCGCGAGTAGTGTAGAGGAAGCATAAAAATTGTATAAAAGAAGTTATTGATAAGTGAAATATGTTTGAAGAAAAGTCCCGCGGGGTTTCTTGCTGGTTCTTCCCAGGACAGAGGTATATTCCGAACCAGTGGTAAATAAAAAAAGACTTTTAATAAGTATTGTGTAATAATCAATATTGAATAAAAAATTATTCTATTTTATTCTATAAAGTAACGTCGAGTACTTGATTTTTTTAAAAATATGTTTTCATTTTAGGAGGTTTGTCAGGGTTAAGATAGAACCTTTTATAATGTTGTTGAATTACGGAAATGTGTTTTGAATTAATTACGATAAAAATAAATTTCATTAACTAAATGATTGCTTAGAAGTTTTTGGCCAAAAACCAGAAAGTTTTTTGTGCGTTCATGGACTTGGAAAAGGCTTATGACAGAGTGGACAGGAATGTGTTATGGCAAACACTGAACTCATTTGGGTTGAGCACTGGCTTGATACAGGCATTAAGGTCTCTTTATAGGGACTCTAGTGCTTGTGTCAGGATCAAAGGGGTCTACTCGGACTGGTTTGGCATTCATAAAGGGGTCAGACAGGGATGTGTGGCCTCCCCGTGGCTGTTTAACCTATTTATTGACAGTTGTTTGCAAACTTTGAAAGTTGAAGAATGTGGGTTGAGAATGGGTGAGTTAACCGTCAAATGCCTTTTGTACGCCGATGATCAAGTCATATTTGCATCGTCGGCGGCCTAGTTGCAAATGATGGTTACTTTAATGAACTAGTCATTGAAAGAAAGGGGTATGAAAGTGAACGCAAGTAAGACGAAAGTGATGGTTTTTGAAAGAGAAGAAAGTAAAACGTTATGTGAAATAAGAATAGAAGGGGAGTTGATTGAGTAAATGGATGAGTTTGTATATTTGCGATGTTTATTTAGCAGGGATGGTAGATATGATAAGGATATAGAACGACGAGTGAACGCAGGAAATAGAGTTAATGGGGCTCTACACGCTATTATGAGGAGTCAGAATGTGTCAAATAAGGCACGTATGGCAATTCATAATGCTGTGTTAATCCCTACTTTAATGTATGGTAGTGAAAGTTGGGTCTGGCAGAAGAAGCATGAGAGTAGAATAAATGCTGTAGAAATGCGGTCATTACGGAGTATGCTAGGGCTGAATCTGAATGACAGGGTGAGAAATAGTGTGATAAGATAAAAATGTGGTTTGCAAGATGACGTTGTGACAAGGATTAAGAAAGGACTGCTTCGGTGGTTTGGTCATGTAGAAAGAATGAACGAGGAAAGACTGACAAAGCAAATTTATGTTGCAGAAGTGAACGGCAGGGTCGAGAAGGGACGCCCTAGACGAAGGTTTATCGACCAAATCGGAGATACCTTAAAATGGGCCAGATTAGGAGTACCCTTAACCGACGAGCGTGTATGCGTAGAAATATGGATGTAAAGGAGGCGAGAGAGGTGTGTCAGGATCGCGCCAAATGGAAGTCTGTAGCCTACCCCTCTTCTTGACAGGCATGAGTGTTTGTGGGTGTGTATTAACTAAAAATTGCATATAACGAAACGGGTCACAAAAGTTAATTACTCGGACCCAAACAATCCATTTGTGGCTGAAGATGGGACTCATACACACGAATTGAGTCGTAGTGAAGAGCAGTCAAAAAGGTTTTTCAGAAAACAAAATTATAACAATTCACATTACATTGTTTCATTTACCACTGTCATAGCAGAGTTTAGAGCAACCTGACTATAGATAAGATAGGTCGAATCTGTACTAAAACCGAATCAGAACGCACCGACTCCACGTAGTCTTGTCTGCCCTACCCCTAAAGTGTTTTTTAAGCCGTAGGCGCAGAGGGAGAGAAGCCCTGCTCGCTGCTCACCTCCGCAGCTTCAGCTCACATGAATGCCTGTGATTTGCTACGCAGGGGCGAAGGGGCTTCAATTCCCGCAGCGCCG